GGCATAGGTTATGTCAATTACTATTTATTATGCATCATGAGTTATGCTGATTATTGTTTAAGATAAGGGTTAACAGGATTTTTACTTTGAACTTGCATGTATAAAACTGTGATTCTGGAAATGGAAGAACAGAACAGTCTTGGAGAGGCTACTCTGACTCTTCTCCAGAATTGCTGGCCTTCGGACAAAGTTTGGTGGACCTATGCCTGTCTCTGCATATTGGCTGACAGGGACAGGGCCTGGACCCTGTTCGTCCAGTAATAATGAGACAAAAATAGTAATGTTTCACCCTAGACCCAGTATTAGTCCAAGGAGTGGGAATATGACCCAAGCAGGTCAACTCACCATTCTCTAAGAATTGAAATAGAAGAGAACTTTCCTCTTTCCCCTTGGATCATGAGGTATAAGGCAATGACCCTGGAGATGCTAGTGGTAATATGTCCATATACACATATCCCTCTCCAACAAGGTATGGAGAAGCTGAAGAGAAAGGAGACAACAGACAAGCATAGGCCCTGCTGTTAGGTCTGAGGGAAGGCAAACCCATGGCAGGGAAGCAGCTAAGGGCAGAGAGCAGGCACTGAATTGTACCTAGGAAGCAACATTGTGGCTAGGGACCCGGTCAGAACACATGGTGAGGAGCCCCCGGTGACCACAAACTGACTTGGAGTTCATTACCACACAGTTAACATTGCAGATTTGGCTCCCCATGGATTCTTTGAGAAGATTTGGGGAAGAGGCCTGTGCAATAAGGAGTTGGCTATATAACTATAACCTGTCAATCACCTCAAAGGTGGGAAATGACAGGTAATCCTGGGGTGGGGGCAGGAGTCCAGGCCCAGAGGGAGACCTGTGTCACTCTTTGAGATGTGATCTTGCTGTACTTTTGCTCCGCAATAAATGTATATACATATGTTATTGTTTTGTGGTGTAATCACTCTGTCATCATCGTCATCTAGGCCCCAGTGCTCACACCCAGAGTTAAGAACCAGGGAATATCTGCATTCCAGCCGGACATAACTATACCACAAGCGAGTAGTGATTGGGCAGTTTTGCTATTCATATGTCACAATTTCTGCATCTGGCTGCACCCCTACATTTCAGAGGCAATATTTTTGTCTCACCCCATAAGACATTTATTGTGCTAGTTTGCTTAGGCTAGCTTGAATTGGAATTACAGTTGTCCCTTGCGTAACTCAGGTTTGAACTAAACAATTAGGAGTTTTTTCAACCAAATGCATATCTGAGACACAGTATCCCAGGATACAAAACCTATGAGGGCCAACTTCTATGCTTTGATTGACAGGGCTGACTGCAGGACTTGGGTATGTGCTGATTATGATACAAATGGAGATCCTGGAGTATATCAAGGGATGATTGCACACCACTTCACATGAAAAACAAGCCCCAAAATAAATGCTGAAATCAAAGTTTTACTTGCTTCATATATGTCAAGTTTGTGTTCTCTATTACACTTTAACCATCATGAGATCAGAGTTTATGCCATAGTTTCATGGTCGTCTTCCTATGCATATGACAGTACTAGGTTTATTGTAAGGGCTCCAGAAGTCTTTTCTTTTCTTTTCTTTGTTTTTGGAGACAGAGTCTCACTTTGTTGCCTTGGTAGAGTGCTATGGCATCACAACTCACAGCAACCTCAAACTCTTGGGCTCAAGTGATTCTCTTGCCTCAGCCTCTTGAGTAGCTGGGATTACAGGAACCTGCCACAACGCCCAGATATTTTTTAGAGACAGAGTCTCACTTTTGCTCAGGCTGTTCTTGAACTCCTGAGCTCAAGCAATCCACCAGCCTCAGCCTCCCAGAGTGCTAGGATTACAGGCATGAGACACTTTGCCTAGCAAGAAGTCTGTTCTGATTTATATGTTCTACTTATATGTCATAATATAAAAATAAATATAAATCAACCAAAAATCTACCCATATGGTTTTGTTTTTGAGGCAGAGTCTCACTGTCTTGCCCAGGTAGAGTGTCATGGCGTCATACCTCACAGCAACCTTAAACTCTTGGGCTCAAGCAATCCTGTTGTCTCAGTCTTTCTATTTTTTTAGAAATGGGGTCTCACTCTTGCTCAAGCCGGTCTTGAACTCCTGAGCTCAAGTAATGCACCCGCTTTGGCCTCCCAGATTGCTCGGATTACAGGCATAAGCCACCTTGCTTGGCTCTCTCTCTCTATATATATATAACCATTTTTCTTGGCTCTGTTCATAAAATCTAGATTTTCTAAGTGTGAACTTTGTGTATGTTCTCATCTCTTGTAAGATTGAGGTCGTAAAAATATGTGCTGCTGGCGCATAAAGAGCACAATAACAAGAGTAACAATTGGTAGAGATTTCCCTAACCACCACTAACATTCTACTTTTCCAAAATTAGATTGGTAGATTTTTGGAAAGGGGCACTCATGTTGAATAATAGGAAGTTTTTAAAGGAATGCATGAAAAATACAGCTAAATAACAAAAATAAGCTTTTAAAAATATATGTATCTCTTTACCTTTTAAAAGCATTTTTACAAGGTTAGATGTGTGCCTGTGTATTCACTCCCAGCCACCATCAGGCATAAATCTGAAGAACTAAAGAAAGGCTTGGTGCAGTGGCTCACGCCTGTAATCCCAGCACTTAGGAGGCCGAGGTGGTGGATTGCCTGAACTCAGACGTTTGAGACCAGCCTGGGCCAGAGTGAGACTTCATCTCTAAAAATAGCTGGGTATTGTGGTGGGCACCCGTAGTCTCAGTTACTTGGGAGGCAAGAGGCAAGAGAATCACTTAAGGCAAGAGAATCACTTAAGCCCAGAAGTTTGAGGTTGCTGTGAGCTATGATGCCACAGCACTCTACTGAGGGAAACAAAGTGAGATTCTGTCTCAAAAAAAAAAAAAAAGCTAAAGCTAAAGATTTCCTGACAAATTGAACTAATGCCCTGACCAACTGGATGCACAGCAGTGTTCTATATTTTCTCAGACATCCACAGGAAATAAATTATCTGATTCATTCAGGGACTATGTTCCCAAGCTAATTAAGTACATTTAACCAGGTCCAATAACCTTGAGTCACAGGATTTTTCTGTTTTAGAATTTTTTTTCTTTGCCTAGATTCTGAGTGCTATGTGTCAGAGACAATTTTAGGTGCTTAACATATATTAACTAATGTAATTCTCCAACAGTCCTATGAATGGTGCTTTCAGTAAGCAGAATTCTAAAGCTGACTCACTCCAAAGATTTTCATCCTCTGATTATTCAAGGAAACACTCATTTAGGTACTGCTCTGAAGGGACTTTCAAATGTGATTAAAACTATGTACCTTTGGCTTGGGGGCCTGTGGCTCAAGTGCCTAAGGCGCCAGCCACATACACCTAAGGTGGCCGGTTCAAATCCAGCCCCGCCCACCAAATAACAATGATGGCTGCAACCAAAAAATAGCCACGTGTTGTGGCGGGTGCCTGTGGTCCCAGCTACTTGGGAGGCTGAAGCAGGAGACTCGCTTGAGCCCAGGAGTTGGAGGTTGCTGTGAGCTGTGATGCCACAGCACTCTACCCAGGGGGACAGCTTGAGACTCTGTCTCAAGAAAACAAAAAACAAAAAAACTATGTACCTCAAGACAGGAAGGTTATCCTGGATAACTTATATCCTGGTTATACGTGCATATGCCTTGATCTAATGATCATTTGAATCCTTATAACAGAGAACTTTCCCAGGCTAAAGTCAGAGTGACATGGCACAAGAAGGCAAAGGAGAGGTGAGTAGGAGGGTTTAGAGTAACTCAAAGTGTGAGAACTTAACCTGTCACTGAAAGCTTTGAAGATGGAGGGAGGGAGCTACAGCCAAGCAGTGCTAATGGCCTTTAGAAGCTGAGACTCCCCCAAAGCCGGAAAGAAAATGAAGACTACACAGAATCTAGTTCTGCCAACAACCTGAATGAACCTGAAAGCAGATTCTCTAGACCTTTAAGTGAGGAAAACAGCTCTGCCAACACTTCACCAGTGCAGTTCCAGGTTAGAGGAGACTAAAGAATTAGGACCACTAAGATCCCTGATTAGATTCTAGTTGTGGATGGGGTAAGGAATAATTTTTTAAAATATTGTTGTAATTGGGGAAATTTTAATTTAACCTATTAGGTAATACCATCTTGCCAAAGTCAAATTTCCTGACTATGAAGTTGTACTGGGTTCTTTAAAAGAATGCCTTGTTCTTAGGAGATACATATTCAAGTATTTGGGGGTGAAGTATGATTAGTATGTATGTAAACACAAATAAAGCAAATATATATAAAATATGTAATACAAATATATAAACTGTTAACAGTTGGTGAATCTAGATAAAGGGTATATGGACGTCAATTTAACTTTTTACAATGTTTCCGAAAATTTTTTCTCGTTTTTCAAAATCAAAAGGGAGCTGCAAAAAAAATCACCCTGGCTACTCTGTGTAGAATGGATGTAACGTGCATAGAAGCGAGGCGGGAACACCAGATGGGAAGGTATTGCTGCAGTTAGGCTGGGGTGCTGGTGCAGGACAGTGACAGCGGGGATCCAGAAACGCAATCTTCCCGCTCACAGCTAGGCCAGTGAAGTAAAACCAAGCGATGGAATCTCATCCTGTAACGTTGCTGCCACAGGAATCTCCCTCGCAGGAGAAACTTCCAAGGGGGGCTGAAGGGGCTTTCACATTCATTTAGCATCCGCCACTCGCGCAGAACCAAGCTGGCGCTGGCGAGGATGCGGGCTCCAGACTGGAAGAGCGCATGTCTGCGGCTGTACAAGCCGGAGGGGGCATCCTACATTTAAATTGTACTTCCCTTCACAAAGTAGCTCCCAGGTCTTCGGCCTTTCTCCTACACTACCTTTCGCGTTGCTCAGCAACTGCTTAAAACAGATGCTCAATTGAGTCAAAAGGTGGGTTACGCCAGACGCTTGCGTCTGCCTCTCCCCCGTACGTCCGCGGCGTGCGCCGGGCCGCCGGGCGCAGGAAGCGGAAGCGGAAGTGTTGGCCAGGGGGCGTGTCCGCCTGAGTCCGCGGCCCCAGCTCTGGACGTTTGCCATGGAGGGGTCTGGCGAGCCACTGCTGGATGCTAAGTCTCAGGTAGGTCCCAGCTTGGAAGAAGAGGGGGTAGCGGTGCTCTGGAGCAAGAAAAGTCTTTCCCTAAATGGTGTTTTCTGTTTCGGTTTCAGGTGACCAACCAGGTGAGTGAGCGGCCGCCCCGCCTTGTCCTCTGCCGGCCTCCGCGGGGCAAAGAATGGGCGAACGCACGGGGCCCGCCTCCCGCAGCGCGGGCACGGTGCCACTGGCAGCCTTCCCCAGCTCTCCCCCGCCCCAGCCTTGTGTCCATGAACCAGCGACCTTGAGCCATCCTCTCTGCATGCTCCTTTTTGCACCTGAGCTGGTGTAGCCACTGCCTTTGTAATTAAAGTTTCCGCACCCCAGGCCAAAGAGTACAGACCAAGTATTGTTCTTTTTTGATTAGCCAATATTTATTCGAACACAGTATTTTAGAATGTGACGGATGTAAAAGGAATCAGTGTTTACAAAGGTAGTACGACTTTTTTTAGTCTTCGAGAAAGTTATTTTGAAACTGGAGTATAACTTTTTAGAGTATATTCTAGAAATAAGAATTTGACTTTTGAAAGTATGACTTAGTCCTCTTTGTTTCAAGTGTTCCTGTGCTGTTTTAGTTAATAAGCTGTTTGTTAACAAGTTATTTTTAGACAAATAACTTATAACACATTTCTCAGAAGCAGAGTGCGAAAACTAGAATATTTTAGGTTAGAAGGCCCTAAAGATAGAGCCTAGGTAAGAAATAATTAGCATACAAGGGCTGAGAGATGCAGTCATTGACTGGTTTTTATGACTCTGCTGTTGCTTTTGAGGATTCCTGGGATATAGGAGAACTCAGATGGTAATCAGTCCTCTGCCTGACTTCCCTCAGAGTTACATGAATCAGGGCTGTTTGATTCACTCTCTCATAAATCATTTTATCCATACACCTACATAAAATCATGTGTTTTAGTAAGACAGCCTGAAACTGAATTATATGAGTTTTAAAATTGAGCTTTTTTTTTAAAGCTTAAAACAACATGAGTTTATCTTTTACTATTTTGAGGTCAGACATCCAAAATTGGTCTTATGGGGCTAAAATCAGGGTGTGGGCAGGGCTGTGTTCCTTCTGGAGGCCGAAGGGACAAATCTTTTCTTCCTCCTAGAGGCTGCCTGTATAGCTTGTGGCTTCTACTTCCATGTTCAAAGCCCATTTCAACTTCTGCTTCTGTTTTCACCTTGTTGTCTCTGACTCTGACACTCCTGTCTCCCTCTTATAAGGACCCTGTGATTACATTTGCCCACCTGGATAATCCAGGCAAATCTCTCTATCTCAAAATCATTAATTTTGTTCACATCTACAAAATTCTGAAGGTAACATATCAGTGGTCCTCAACTCTTTTGGCACCAGACACTGGTTTCAAAGAGGAGTGGCGGC